TTGTCTCGACCAGTCGTTCTAATCGCGCGGTTCGCGTTAAGAAACCAGTAAGAGCAACTTATTTCTTGCTATATCGCAAGAACTGGAATCGTACGGTCTTTTTGGAACGCTTAAAGCGCGGAATTTATTTACCCGCCCCGCAAAAAAGAAAAGCGGAAAGGGAAATATAAAAAGGTGGAAGGAAAAACGATAAGATATAGCATAGTTAACGAATTCATTTGCAATTTTACTTGCTACGCGCAGCTAATCGAACCGACACCGACCCGCTCAAATCGCTGTCACCTTTTTCTTACCAGCCGCGCTAAACTCGCTTCGTTTAATATCTGCAATCGTCGTAATTACCGCGGAGGCTGTTGCATAACTATCGCTTTGATAATTCAGCTGTAAACCTGATCTATCTGTGAGGTCGTAGCTCCACGTTTCCTAATTTTAGACAAACTTTTGAAGGAAGAAGAAATTAAAGAAGTTAATAAATACCCGAGAAGATATTAAAATAAAACAGAATGAACTGTTTCACGGAAGATAATTCGAGTGGTAGATGGTAGAGCAGACGTACGGCTTCGTCGCGTTTCTCCCACTTTTCTTCCTTATCGAAGCCAATTATCGTTTTTCCAGCGTGTCGCGTCTACCTTCTACAACAGGTATAAGCACTGTGACGATGCGATAGCACAGAGCTCGAATCGAACCTCCCATAAATACCTAACTCGCTATAACACCCAACCCGTATCTCGAAATGTATTATTTTCTAAATCACGATTGCCTGGGTCCAACGAAGAAAATAAAATTGCTTCACCTACCGCCAATGCACACCCAGATAATCCACTCGATTAAAATACCAGACACACGGTGTGAACTTTCCCGGGCGGAAAGCCGAAGAAAATCACTGGGAAGTTTAAACCTGGACCTTTTTACGCCGACATGGACTACTGCACACAGGCAGGTCCGAATCGTGTCTAGCCAGAGAGAAAGAACCTGCTGTTTACATCACGAAGCCAGTAGCCTCCATTCACCAGCGAAGAAGGTAATTAAAAGCCACCTCGGGAACGCGGCGAGACCAGCAGATATTGATTCACCGGATCGGCTTCTTCCCTCTTTGCCTTCCTATCTTATCTCTCAAGGGCGCAATTAACGAGCAATTAGTCGATCCAGGACGCGATTGCAATTACGTCTACCGTGCAACCGGGACGAGCACCTACTATTAATGTCCTTCCACTTATTCGAAAATGTCATCATCAAAGTCCCGAATGATCGTCGAGTCTCCGTGTACCTCTCGTCGAATTTCGATAATCAAATCAGCGATGCTTACGAGCGTTGCAAGTACAAAACAAGTACAAAGATCACACGTCCAATCGGATGCACTTGGAGCTCACTTTCACTCGCCGGTAGAGGAATTTTCAAAGGGGTACGTTTCGTAGAGGGTTCACCGCGCGATGCTGCGATTCACCGGGCACCATGATCGGCTGTTTCTCACAGCGGTTTCGAGGCTTTTCGAGGAGGAAATACAACGCGGAAGCACGAATCGGCCGATCGTCGAACCGGCGAAATCACTAGTCGCCGTGTGTGTGTGTAATCGCAGGCCTGCGCCGCTCGCGACTGAGCCTTTGCCAAAGCGGTCTGATACGCGAGCGACGTACCCCACATACGCCGCTCTGTACGGCTTCCTTTTAGTGGGGGATACTTTTGCAAGGGAACCTACATTTTCTAAAATCGACTGACGCCTTCTGGACTGTCGTGTGTCGAAGGTGCGTCGCTGTATGCATAGGTTATGCGTTATTTATTTATCTTCCGAGTCTTACGTAGCTCGTATGATATTAGTCTTTTGTAGCTGGCTCTGTAGCTTCTAGAACGAGGTACGGTAATTTTTGCCAATCTCTTTAAATGCAATTTTCATCGATTTTCGCCCTTTTTCGAATATTGACGTGGAAAATTATTTCTTGGAGAATGTACAGAATGTTTTCTATTTTTCTAATGGAATTTGTAAGTGTTCTTTTCTTGTTAGGGATTGCGTCAGTGTTTTAGTCATCATCGATTGTTCTTTGTGCGAAGGATGATTTAAATTACACCTGCAAACGATAACACGGGCACGTCGTTTTATCAGAGGCGAAAAATTTCCAGGTACACACCGATGTGTATCTGCTGGTGAGATAAGGTTTCATTGCTGTCGAATTTGTTGCAAGCAAATACGATGAACAGGAACGAGAACTCGTACCGGAACGCACCGAGCGGCCTGACCTCCGGTCTATTCAATGGAATCGTGTAAACTGTAATAAACGAAGAAACAGGCTGTATTGTATGCAAACGCCTCGTCGAAATTCTGCGTGCTAAATATTGATGAAAGAAATTCACGATTACACTTTCTACTCGCGACATTGTCGCTATAAACGATACTTATAAACAGTAATGTTTGACGACGATAGTTGCTGCTGGGAAATAAAATGCGAGGAATAATATTTTGAGAACACGAAGAGGATCGATTTAGCGTGTCGATTTTAATTTAGAAATATTTTCTGTTTCCAGAATTCCGAGAATTTTTGAGGGAATACCTCTCTGGAATTTGTCGCCAATTTAAAATTGATATATTTAAAGAACAGGATATTTTTTTTCTCAGAAAAGATTATTTTTCGAAAGAAGAAGAGTATTAGGAAGATGTATTGAATATTGAAGTATTAAGAATACTGCGAAAGTCACGATTTTCATTTAAACCATTTTTCATTTTAATAATCGTGATATAACAGCGTGCGTCGAGCGGACATGCGATTAAACTCGATGACGTTCGACGATTATTTATTCTTAGATCCTTCTGAAAAAAGAAACAAAAAGAGTGATCTTTTCCGGAATAACGATAAGGCAAACTTTTCCCTGGATTATGGCTGACTCATTTCTTTACGTAATCGGTAAACGAGCCATCCTGTTCAAGATTGTTGTCCTGAAATCGTTACGTCCACCATTGTTTCGATCTTTGGATCGTCCTTCGATCGAGGAGTCGCGAATGATTCACTTGGCGAAGAATAATTCGTACGAAAGTAGTACGAGCACAATAACCGCTGCAGAACGTACTCGAGAATTAATGTGATACAGTTCTAAGCGAGACAGATGCAATCGAGAAAAGAGTTCGTCAGAACCGTAATTTTCTGCGATAAGTACACACTTTTGAAAGCAACGATGACCTCAAGTTTGCAGATAAATTAAATCGAAATGAACGGACGTAGACTTTGACATATAGTGTGAGCTCACTGACGAATGATGCTTCAGGAAATAACTGCTGGAGGGAAGATATCAGTTGAATTTTTTCAATGACCCGTGGTTAATAGAAACCTGATTATCTAACGTTTAATCATTGGAATTAATGATAACCGCTGGAAACAAATTAACATTTGAACCCCAGTTCATTTCTGTCTCTTACATTTTTTTCTACATGATCTGTCTATTTTTACCTCGAATCATAAGCGTTCAAACAAGCTTCGGATATTATTTCAGGAGCTTAGGAAAGCTCCAATTCGTAATCGCTTTTCACGAGTCATTCGGTAGTTATAACTCGAATGTCCATGTAAAGCGTATGCAAACGAGTACACATGACGTCCGCATGGTTTTTACATGCACGTTTCGCCCGACAATTCCTTTTCCATGCAAATACGTATCTTTCATACGCGCTCTTTTGTTGCCTTTTGTATCATCGTCGATTTATTCAGACGGTTTCTTTCTTATGCACATTCGGGTCATCGTGAATACGCGTCGAGGACTACTCGAAATTTCGTGGCGCAAGTATGTACACATCGTAATCTCTGCGACCTGACTTTGTCTCGTCCTAACTTAACGCCAGCTTGTTGCAATTGTTAACAGTCCATGGACCAAAGTCCGTAGCTTCTTTCTTACACACTGAGTTGCGAATTTCCACTCGAGCCTCGCGCTTCTCGCTTAATTCCCCGAGTTACAAGTCATTCCGTTCGAGCAGGGCCCTTTTAGCGGTGGACCAAAAAGGGCGAATTTATCCTGATGAAACTGCGGTTTCGGCGGCACGAAAATCGATCCACACCGTGTCCAATCATCCCTGTTTCTGGTTTCTACAGGCTTCTTCTCTGTCCCGATTACCCATAAAATCCTGCCACTTTTATTCTAAGATCTCTACAATGAATTCCAGAAAAGTCTACTATGCCAAGATGATAGCACGTCCTATGATGTTCGGATCGGTCCTCAGGAACCAATTGTCACCTAAGCGAACACTTTAATCGAGGAGTTTCATGTATTAAGAAGATCCTTCAACTCCGTGGGAAGGTGTAAAAAGTAATAAGAATCGCAGAATAGAGAATGGCGCCGACAATGATAATTTCTGTACGGGTTATGTAACTGGAGAAGCTAGGTCGTTCGATGCTGCTCTCCTCGTCATCGAAAACGCACGTTTGGAACGAAGAAAAGGTAGAAAGTGCATTACAAATTTTTGCCGCTACTTTTTATCGTGAAATTAGTCGTTACAGTGCAAATCGATCGTTAATTCGTACCGATGTTGCTACATCACGATTGGAGAACGTGGTTTTTATAGGTCAAGATAAAGTATTGGGTCATCGTGATTACACAGAGGTAATGGTTACAGGGCACGGGGTTTTAGAACGGATTGCGGTAGATGTAATCGTAAAAAGTCACGTGAAACGTGTGTTTTAGGATACATTCTGTGTATTATGTTACGAGTGACTTGTAAGAAGCGAGCCTGTATGTATGTTATTTGCTCGGCAAGGCTCGAGCGCCCGGGGCAGACAACCCGTTCTACATCGCTGCGCCTCCGTACGATGATCCTAAATCACACGCGTGTATCCACTCCGAGACGTAATGTACGTAGACTTTAGGCGCAGTTTCGTACGTTTATGGAGCATCTGGGGAATGTTTATCCTCGAAAAATGATAGTTCGATGAAATGTAAAAAGTGCAATCGGTATGTGGAATGAAACAACAGCGTGTCGTAGAGAATGTTTCATTTCAGTACCGTGAACAATGTACAAGGGTACTCACTTTCCAGAGATGACCGCAGATGATCCATGGCCAAACTTGACAGTGCCTCGGCCAAAGAAGAAACGTGTTTTTCCAAAAGCTTGTCATCTATTAATCAGCGTTAGTCGAGCAGTTAATTCGAGTGTGGAAACGTGCAGTTATAAATTGACGTCACGATTGCTTCTTTGATCCTTTTCATTGGGTACTGTTACATTCACTTAATTACGGTTGTTAGTTGTAGACGTTGCTCAACTACAGGGTGTTTCAAAAGACACTTGTATTTCAACACATACGACGTCAAAGAGAATAAAAAGAGAAGGCAAAAAAGAAATAGGAACGACATTGAAGACGTTAGAACTCTGTGAGAGGTGTCAAATTATTCGTCTCAGAGATACTTGGTGTATGTCTAAGAGTCACCTGTCACAGGTAGTTAGAATTTCCAATGTTCTCCATTCGCGGATTGAAATGGAACAGCCTGTAGGCGCGCAGACGTTTTCTTGTAACTTTTGTTTCGTAAAGGAAGCGTTTGGTTCCAGTGTGCGGAGCAACCAAGCGTCAAAGAAGCAATCGAGATACTGGAGAGTTAATTGCCAAGTGGGCTGCGCCGCGTTTTAGAGATGGATCGGGGGTGAAAAAAGCGATCGAGATGGCCGGGAGTTAATTGTTAAGTAGGTAACAGATACGCAGCGGGTAGAAATATTGCCGTGGCGATTGAGAAAGGAATTCGAGGCTCTCCAGGCATGTCGGTTTTCTTGTTTGAACATACTCGAGTTTCTTCTGCAGATGGCAGCATTGTTTGCTTATACGCCGGATGTACGTGCGATCTTCGAAGCTTATGTTGGTTAAAAAATCAATGAAACACGAAGAAACAGAAAGATCGCTTTAGGATAACAATTCTCCTCCGGTTTCCTTCCTCAATCTATTCAAACGAAAGGAATCGATCGTTACAATTGAGAACCGAATTTCGGAATGCAGTAGTAAAAGAAGGAAGCAATTACTCGCGCGTTCTTATCTTGTTCCTCTACTTGTAGCTCCATTTGTGTTTCAACTTACACGCTGGATGATCGTACAGTCGATTGATCGGCGCGTTGGCCACGTTGCCGATCAAGCCTTCTACTATCTTCTCAACGGAATCTCGAACCGTTTCCATCGTGTTCGCCTCTTCTTTCTCCGCGGTCGAACCCTGTCCCGAACTGGTAGCTGCATTTTCCACTCCTGAAACGAGAATTCAAACGTTTTTATAATCCGCTTGAAACCAGTTAAACCGAATTAGACGGTTCACGGTTAATTTCCATTTAATCAAACGGCAGACGAAACGACCCGATGGATTTTAGATTTAATCGTTCTCCTCGATCGTTAAAATCAAGGACATCGTGCAGTCGTAATTAATTCCTTCGTTTCGTTTCCCATTCCTTCGATCGAAAACGGAACCGCGATAGATCGGGATGATATTGTCTTCGAATAGGCACACCGCGTTTAAATTTCTTTGAAAGTTCGAGCTTCGAAACGAAGAAGACTCGATGTTGGCGATGAACAGCTGTCCCTGCGATTTCATTTTAAACTGGGTCAACGAGCGTAAGTCCGGCATCGTTAACATTACTTTTACCTTATCAGCGTGATACATAAATATTTTATGGCGGAGACGTCTCGAAGAAACGCGTAAGAAACTCTGATCGACCTCTGGCCGATCGAACGAAACCAAAACTACGATCGTGTTATGAACTATGATCTCTGACGCGCGAATCACCTGTTCGATTAAATCAACGATTTAACACGAATAAATTTCACGGGATAATGTCTCTAAAAACGACGTCGGAGCTTTCATCGTTCAATATCACTTGCTTCTCCATTCAGTCTAATCGATGTCCATAGTATCAGGCGTGAAATGAAATAGGGAAGTGTGAAAAAACTGCGATTATGATATGATCTATAATCATAATACGATTTAATAACACTCCGACAGGATAATATCCGCAAAAACACCTCGAAAACTCGGCTATTTAACTTTTTGTTAGCCGGTATCGATATTGAGTCATCATTTACACACGATTCTCTCGTTTCCCCGCTTAATTAAATCGATCTTCGTCGTATTTGAACAGCGAATAAAACGAGAAGAAGTAAAAGACCGAAACTGCGATTATGGCTGACAATCCTCGCCGAACGAAACACCTGTTCGATTAATGATCTAGCAAAACTCCGTCAGGACCGTATATTCGAAAACGTCTTCGCATTTATCAATCTTTTATTATCCGATGGCTACCTGGGGTCGCCATTTTTGCACGATCTTTTTCGTTTTTCCGTTCAACTGAGTCGATCTTCGTTCATCTAGTTACGAAATAAAAGTAGAAAAGGTGGGAAAAAATGAAGCAACTTACTCATTCATGCGGCAAAAACTTTCTCCCTCCGTCAAAACGAACGTTCATTCGCGCACGGATCGCGTGGCGGCGCGTGCATTTTCGTGAAAAAATGTCGAACCAACGGTTTGTTTACAACGGCCGCCGGTCAGAAATCGCGTTTCGAGTATCGATTCTGAGGAACGACGCGGCGCGATCGCGAATCCCTGTCCAACTGACACGGCCGGGCGCTTTCTAAACGAAAGTATCGACGACCATTAAAGATCTACCACTGTAGTCCTTTTTTCCCCTCGCGTTTGTAACCGCATTCTCTTAGGCGAGTACCGCAAGACCGGTATATTTATCAGTTATCACACGGCTTCGAGGCCGCTCGAGCGCGAACAGACATCGATCTTCGCTCGAGGATACTCTGCTCGATGTCCCTCCCACGGCGTCGATCCTCTGGCCTCCGGCGGATTAAGATCGCTCTCTAGTTCTCCAAATCCTCCATGCTTCCTCTCTTTTATCGTTAATTATCGTTTTTTATTCTTTCCATCCTTTGCAAATGCTTCTCCCTTCCTTCTTCTGTCCTGGATAAATATGTCACAGGTTTTTAATGATCCTGTGGTGACATTTATCGCGAGTGGATTTGCTTCAGCTTTCCCAATCCTTCATGCTTCCACTTTTTTCCTACTAATTATTGAATTTCTTAGAAATATTTTTTCCTCCTTCCAGACTGGTTTTATCGATCTCAAGGTGATATTTATCGCGCGATGGCTCGATTTAGCCTTTCAAATCATCTATAGTTTGCCTTTTTTTATCGTGGATTATTATTTCTTATCTCTGGGGATCTTGGGATCTTTTGTAAATACCTTCGCTTCGTTTCCTTAGCGAATGGATTTCTCGAAGGTTTCTGTTAATCCTGAGCAGAGATTTTTAGAGCTTTTGTTCGAAATAGTTCGTCAGATCCTTCGTGCTTACTGCTTTCTTTTATTTTTCAACGTTTATGTAAATATTTCTCCTTGCTTTCTTCCTTGGACGAATCTTCGACAGACGGTTATTGATCACGAGGTAATATTTATCGCGACTTGATTAGATATGTTTGAGCACACAGTAGTTTCTTTACAAGAAGCTATTTGCCATTTCCTCAGTCTTCTTCATTTTCTAACAGTCACTTTTTTACAAAGCACATCTGATTTCCATCGAATGCCGCGACTATTCAACAATCAGCGGAGATTCTTCAAGACCGGTTAAAAATTCTCACAGCGGCTGCTGAATCCGCAGCAAACGACTAACCCGTTCCACTCGGTGAACCTCTCGAAACGTCCCGGCCACTTTTTGCCCGGCCTCACATCATCCCGTTCCAACAGACACGCTAATCCGTCCTCAGTCTTGATTAGGTATCGCTACTTTCGCGCGCTTCTGCCGTCCTTGTCTGCTATTTTCCATTTCTAAACGCACAAACCGGTTGCTCGTAGCCGTGGACGTGCACCAAACGATCGGCCGCGCGTACCACTCTGGAAGGCCTCGCCGAGCCACCGCTGAAAAATGAAAGAAAACGCGAGGTTCCTCGATATTTTCACCAACGGGACCTGCTTTCACGCTGCCCGTCCGACTTCCGTCCTTCACGACTATGGCTCGTTCGCGTGCAGGTTGCAATTATCGATGCGCGATTCCCCTCGCGTTGGACCCTGGCAGTCACCTTGCGGTTGCACAACCACGCGTGTGCACGAACCGAACGACGTATCGTCTATAGGCAGTCGAAAGGAATCCTTCTTCGCGGAATAACGTAGACGAGAAAAAAAAAGATCGAGGGGAAGAGGCGAAAAAATGCGGTTCGATCGGTTTCAGCCGCGATCACATCGGCCGCCGCGACTCGTTCTGCGCGAGCGGATTCTTTCCAGGGATGCGAGTAACGGAGCGGACGGGGACGGCGAAAGAAAGAGGCGGAAAGATTACGGGAGTGCGCGATGTTACTCCCAAGAGTACTGGAGCAGAACTGAGGTTCGCCACCTCGGGCCCGGAGACAATAAGACCGATGAGCGCGCGGGAGTTCCGCTTCCATGCGGCCCGAAAACCGATCCGAATTCGCACTCGTGGCTTTTAATCGATTCCGCTATCGAATCTCGTCGTCGTGGATGCTGCAATCCTTTTCCTTCTCCTTTATGCTATTTTTTCGCTTTCCAGAAGAAGCAGATGACGAGGAATTATATCTCGAGTTACTCCACGAAGAAGATGGACTGTGATCTCTCGATGGTGAGCTACGTGTAGATTAACAAAGGCGTGTTTAGTGATTTTCACGTGGAGATATCAGTGGGAAATATCGAGAATGGTAGTTTACCTGGATGGTACTTAGAGCTTTTTCGATTTTCGTCGTGAATTTTGCTTCATTTCATGATTGGGATTCGTGACTGTGGTTCCCAGTCGAAGATTATCGAAAAATCTTGCTGTTTCTTTTACGGTATATTCTATGTATATTCTATGTAAAGATACAACGTTCGTTTACCTCTTGCTATTCATGAATTCAAGACGAACAGCAGCCGAGAGACGCGTCCGCGAGTTTGATCCGGCCGGAGGATCTGGTTTTCTGAAATTTCGCGCGGCGGAATGCGGCGGAGCGGCGAGATCCTCGCCGGTTTCCTAGAAGAAATAACGAGCGTGGATCTTTCGGCTCGCGAAAAACGACGAACAGGGACAAAACTGTTCGGCACGACCGCTCTCTGACCATGTTTGGCGAAAGAACAGATCCTTGGAATAGGCCGTGTAAGTTGGTAGAAACGGAGAAACCTGATGCGTGCATCGATGTATAAAAGAACACGCCTCGATTTGGGCAAATCTCCAATGATCCATAATTCTTCTAACTCGATTCATCCATCTTAATTGACCATTAATTAACATCGTTACTTTACGACTTCTTATGCTTCATCGAGCTGAAAAAATCAGGACTTTGTAGGATTAACGAAGAAACAGGTGGTTATTCGAGCTAGCTAAAAAGAAACTATGGATGTCTTAGACCTGGTTAAAACTTCCTTCGAGTTTCCACATGAAAGTTTTCCAACGGTGCTTAAATCTCTGCCAGAATATACCGACCTCGAACTGACAAATCCACGAACTGAGCAAATGCAGAGGATGGAACTCGATTCCAGTTCTAATCTGGCCCCGTCCCTGTTCAATGTTACGATACGAGTGACCCGCATCGTAACTTCCAGAGCCAGTTATTCATAACGGAACGAGAGAATCGCGAATCGGGTATACCTCGTGACGTGAGACACGTGGATTTTTCGCGAGCGAAGAAAAGCTACAGTTTCCACGAGTGCTATCTGTCGGCTATCTGCTAGACGCGGTCGTTCTTGATCAAACGGCACGATACGATTCACGCGGAAAAGATCGTAAGCCTGTGCAGCGAACAATGAGCATTGCGGGGAATCCAGCGTGAGATAATTTTTGCGACCCGTTCTTATTGTTGCCTCTTCCGTTACACGACTTTTCTGGCTAGGAACAAGGACGGTCGCTCCTCGGTTCAGGATGGCACAATGGAGGCTCGAGCCAGCGATTCAGGTTGGATCCAGCGTCAATTAACATTTTGCGACTTTCTCAGCCCACTGTTCCGGGCTAATTTCGTTTTTCTTTATTCCTCTACCGACCATCTTTTTCCGCCTTCCACTTTAGATATATCTAAAAATTCTTTTCCGCTCGTGACACGAGCCTCTTGCAATTAGCTCCGTGTAACGTTCGAGATCCTTTCAAAGATGTCGCGCTGTAAAAGGCCCTGACAAATTGCTACATTAATACCGATCTTTGAAGTCGATAGGTCAAGCTGCGATATCTGTTCCGCTTACTAATAAAGTCGATAATGTTTGATATCTCTGGAATGTTTGGTCGCTTAGACGAAGATAATCGAAAGAACGATGATGTCAGAATCGTGGAAAATAAGCATCGCGTCAAACGCGAACAATGCAGTTGAAATTTACGTCTGGTCATTTCGAAGTTTAATCAAGTCCCACATGGTAGTTTTGGATAGGATTCCAAGTTCTCGTCCCCGAACCGTGGAAATTCGCTCGACTTTCTCGCTTCTCGTTTACTCCGCGACCAAGTCTGCAATTAATTCCCTCTCTCACTCTGCATGCACACTGTGTATCGATTCGTCGATCGTTCACCGCGCCCACGGGTTCCAACCTGCAAATCAATTTCCCCAGATGGACCAACTATTGTCCATGGTTCCCGTTCGAGCTTAGTTCCCGACGCGATTCGCTCGTGGACAATCGTTTCCCGGCTGCTTCTTTCCAAGGGACTGCATTAGCGAGGAACATGTAGGAATGCTCCACCCTGTGTCGCCTTGAGAGCTGCATTATTTATAAAGGATCGTTGGATCGATTTTCTTGGGAACCCGGGGACACCGATTTTCTTGCATTCGTATCTCACTCTCTACTATTCGCTATTTCCATTTATGCACGATGAATTTTTCACGCCCCCTTTGTTGGACAATTTTAAGGAAATTTTTTAATCAAAGAACGACTCAACAGGTAGGTGCTCTTATCGGCGAGTCGGTGAATTTCCGTGGAGATCTACAGTTGACCGTGGGTGTTTTATAATTTATACCGTTTTAGCGAAGAATTTTCTGAAAAATTCTGTGACGAATAAAATTGTAAATAGGAAAGTTGGAGACTTTTTCGTATAAATGAATAGTTACGAGAGAATAGTTTTCCCAAGAGTAACGAGCAAGATGCTTTTACGAGTGGATCCCTGTAAAGTCCCCTGTAAAGTCTCCTGTAACAACCACGTGCAGAGATGATGGAAAAACACTAGAAACAAGTTTGCTCTCTTGATCCTTCCTCAAAGACACATTAATTGAAATAGTTTTTTCTAAAGAAACCGGTTCGCCGATAAAAGTTTCCTAGTCTTTAGTTCACCGTTTATGCCCTTATATAATTCGAATCAGACTCGTTTCCTGGGATAATCATAACGATTGCAGCATGGTTTTCTTATCGACGGAGAAAGTGACAATGTAGATCCATGTAATCGATATCGGTAGTTCGACTATTTATAAACCGTTGTTTATCTTTATATTATCGTCCGACAATCGAGCCTGCGATTCTATATTGAACAGATATCGGACCTCATTAATATATAAGAATGAGAATTTGAAGGAAATTGTAATATCAAAATTAACGAACCAACCTGGTACGTAAACTCTTGATTTTGCCGTATTGAAGTGTCGGAGTAGATTTTTCTCGTCGATCGGCTCACCAAACGCTTCGAATTCGTGCTTCTTCAGCCAATACCTGACAAGGTATATTTCATTAATAAACTTTCAAATTCCATTTATATAATTGTTATACGCATAATAGTTCACAAAATTACGCAAAGTAAAAGTGAAGTCCAAAGTAAGAATTATGCAATGATTTAATCGAGATAGCGTAAGGAACTAGTTTCGAAGAATTAAGTAACGTTTCGCGCAATGTTGTGTAACAGATTAACATATCGTTGTGGGAACCTGCGTTGACGGCAAAAGAGACAATGCCAAGCTTTATCTGACGGATTCCAACGGGAACAGCCTTTCCTGCAGGATTTTCCGCCGCAATCCTTGCAAAGAACACTGCGCTCGAGAAAAAGTAACTTTAGACAGCAGCAGCAACGATTCTCGCGCACGGAGATCTCCTTTTCTTCTTGCTTCGACTCCTCAGGTTTCCTGTAACATTAGGAACAATTCAGTGAAATCACGAACCCTGAATAAAAATTTGCGAATGAATTATTTACGAGCTCATTCGCGAATATTACAATTAGTTATTTGCTACAAGTTATCTTCTACTTGTTATTCGTCTTTTAATACATTACTCATTATCATTCACTGTGTTAGGACCTTGGTCATTTTCCAATTCGATATTCAAGTTTTATTTTCGTTCCAAAAGATGAGTATTTATTACAGGTTTCAGCTAACATTTTATTTATTATTCATTCCATATTATATCATTCATTATTGTTGGGTTAGAAAACAAATATCAGAAAGAATGAACTTACACTTTGAAATTTATTTACAAGTGTATTCTACACGTCGGATCGAAAGTATAATCTTCGATGAACATAACCAATTTCAAAATTTTACCTGTGACAAGGAACAACGTTAATGATACATTTCATAGCGGTGCGTTTGAGTCTACTTTTATTAAAAATCGGCCCTGTTACCTGCATCGATGGCTATTTACAATTGTATTGTTTCACGAGGCAACATTTTACTCGCAGAGCGTCTGAACTATCTAACATTTAACGCGCAAGAACTATCGATTATCGACTACGTGCATGTTGTGATTAATCGACGCGGCGTGGCGCTTCGAGCGTTGCACGGTGCAACTTCGGCGCGTAATCGACCACGTGCAACGTACGCATCCTTACGTAACAACGGGTTTAAATAAATATACTTTCGAATGTGCTTTCTTGTGTATATTAAATCCAGCTAACTTTCCACGACGACCGCTCGATTACGCAATAACCGGCCATTAGAGAATGTTTTCGCGCCCAGTGAACGATGTATCGAAGCCACAACCAGATCGGAAATTCAATCCCTACTCGACACTTTCTGACTTCCCGAAAGAATCCTCGTCCCACTTTCGACCGATTTAATTATGGTTCGTAGATCTTGATTTTCCTTCATAAAAAGCGGAAACTGGAAATTACCGACCGGCTAATTTCCATACACGCCGATTATTTCCACCGCTTTTGTGTCGCCAAATGACGCATCCATCATCGTCGACGTGACGCCCCCGCGTCTACTGCGCCGATTGTTTGCGCACGCGCGTATAATCAAATGACCGATAGATGCATTTGATGAGATTTTCGCCATTTTACATTGGCTCGCGGTGCATTAGCATATGATCGAATTACTCTGCAGCTCTTTGTTCGGACTTCGTTATTATTTCATAGAGATTCTGTGACAAACCTCGACTTTGATGGATAATTATGCGTAATTATATTTCAGTTAATTATAAATTTTCACTTTTTTTTTTCCTTGACATTTTCTTGCCTTTTTTCTTTGTTTTCACGCGGAAATATGGCTAATAGGTTACATATGGAAAATATATAATTTACTTTCTTGAATTATTCGAGAGAATTACAAACGGTGTAGTCTCGGTATATATATTTCGTCGTTTACGTGGTTCGTTATCGATTTCTTACAATCAATTAATTATATCGAACAATGCATCGCGCTGCATTCACCCCACTTTCAATTTTCTACATTAAAAAACGTCGTACAAGAGATTATCCGAAAGGATAGAAATTGGAGCGATTCTCCATCGCGATTAGGAAGCGTGTCGAGTAACAAGCGAAAAATATCGTAGAAAATGATCGGAATTATCCAAAAATAAGAAATTAGAATTTATTAGCACGGGAGGCATGGTAAAATCACTAATTAGTAGACCGATAAGATCACTGCACGGATTCAGGCAAAGAATCTCTTATTTTACAAATTACACTGTACCAATGAAACTTTATCTCGCGATATTATCTCCGTTCCTTCTTCTATTTCCTCCAATTAATTACGACACAATGACCGGCACGGTAATCCATAACGATCGAAGGATCAATCCTCGCGATCGAAGAAAGTGGCAGCAGCTCTCAAATCGGCGTGGCTCTCCTCGTCCCTTTCCATGTCGGAGGTGACCACCTTCACCACGACCACCTCGATGGTGATCAACAGGAAGAGCACCATGAACGTCGCCATGTTGTATTTCTCTTGGCCAGGGACAACCCTTTCGCCCTCCAGCAGCAGCGTGGAGATGATACTCGAGACGTAGACCAACATCGTGTTTCCCTTTTCACTTTCAGTTCCTCCGGCCGTCCTTTCGCCTCGTTCACCTCGATCCTGCGTTCGTGAACTCTCTACGAGGAGTGACGGGGAAGGTAGACCTAATTAGAGTCGGTTCCCGTCGCAAACGTATGAAATAAACGCGAACTTCCGCGAGACAACATGCAATCCATTGCACGGGTTGATTAACCGGGAAACAAACACGGATTTTCCTTGACTATTGCGTGCTGAGTCGATTCTCTGCTTCCTATATATTGCCTTTGTCAAACAAGCATCTCTTCGCGTTCCACTTTCACGCTTTGTTATGTATATGAGCAAGCTTGACGGACAATTTATCACCTTTCGTTTGTATATCACCTACGATTAATCAGTGTTAGAGTTCAACGAATGATATCTTCCTCGTTTGTTTCACAGTTCTCGTTTAACCAGGATTTGTCATAGATTATCCTAATTAATTATGTCCTAAAAATTACGGTTGGCTCGATCCTCGATATTTCTTCATCCACTTTCGTCGTTGATCTCATACGGTGTTCCCGATGGCGATTTATTTCGAGCTTCACCGATTCGTCGAAATCGAATACGAGTTTCTCGTAACCTTGGTTCTCTTAACGATCTTTTTGTACCTCGCTTTCAAAAGCGGCTTTTTTCGTCCTTCTGCCGCGTCCCTTTTTGTTCTCCGCCCCTTTCACCGACGCCTGTCGTCCCGCCTCTTTCTCTATCCGATAATTAAACCCTTGATCACGCTGATTCTGCGGCTCTCGGCTGCCGAAACTAGCTTCCGATGCAGATATTCGATTGCCTGTCGTTCGTCCGATAGATTGATGCAGCTCCGATGCAAATTTCGACTCAGCGATTTATTCGTCGGCGATTCTTCGGCTGGCTTCGAGGACGCTCTCCGCCGACGTCCTTCTAGGCTTCGAGAAGATAATCCAACGCAGTCGGAAGGTCGGTGCAATCAAATCAACGCTGTCCTTCCTTCTTTGATCGTACACAACTTCTGCGGAGTCAGATAGAGTCAGATAGAGTCAGATAGAGTATTCGGATCGGTACTCTTTGAAACTTTGGCCTTCGGAGCCTCGGGAGCCTTCAGAGGGATCTTCTACGGAGTTTAGAGTTTTCAGAGAGGAATCTTCTTCGATATTTAGAATCGTCGATCACTAAAGATCACATTTAGAGTCGTCTCGTGTGCTCGTGTCAGTATAGAATCGGCTGGTCCCGTTTCGCTGATGGTCGACCCAGTGATCTAGCGAAGGCAATCTCTCCGATCTTCCGTTACATGCAGATCGATCTCAACTGGGATCACGGACCATTTTCGTGGACACCGTAGCGCACGGTGCCGATCAGCTCCGTTCCTTTGTGTCGGACTGCCGGTTTGAAAGTGACAGTAGCCTGGCCGGTCGGGGAAACTCGGTGTTATGCACACGAAGCACACGGGATGGTAGGAGATCTGCCGGGCCCAGATCTTTCCCCGCGTGAGGTTGAGCACCCCTGATCGTCAATTAACGTGAACTTTCACTGGATTTCGACGGTTGCCTGTGTTCCGCGAGGTTCGCTGCGCCCACTGGGGAAAAACAGAGGCGACTTGGTCGGGCCCTCAGAGCCGATTGGCGAAACGGTCGTCGGTTGAGACGTTATAGGTCGAAATCGAGAATCCCCCTGGTCTGCCACGATGACGTAATTTCGAAAGTGCCACACGGCGATTGTTACGTGCTTTAAACCTTTCACGGGTTCGCCAGGTGGCTCTAGATCACGATTCTTCGTGCACAGAGGCGGCCGAACCTCGATCCGATTGGCTCGTTCTAGATCCGAACTCCGTTTTCTGAATGGCTCGTTCGGAGGTTTGAAAAGGGAAGGTTGCTCGCTCGTCGATACAACGAAAAGGAAATTTTCTGGTTACGTGCTCGGTACACGGCGAGATTTCACGCTGGGTGATCTGGGACACGAGTTTATGATAGTAGAAGAGACGGTGTTTTTATGCAGACCGTGGACCGAAAGAGAGAGTAGCTCGTTTAATTTATCCTTTTAAGCGAAGGATTATTCCGAAGTGGGCCTTCACGCGTGCAACGTGTTTAATGGATCGGGCGGCTGCTCCTTTGCCAGACACGCGCGTTTTCATATTTCATCCGTTTGATTCAACGGATTTCAACTGTACCCGGATCCCGGCGGCTAATTACCGTGGAAGAAAAATGGCCCACGCGAGATCGTTCAGGGTTACGACTGTTGAATTGTTTCTGAATTCGCGTCATACCTTCTGCATTCGTTCCCGATAGATCATCTCGAGCCGTAAATAATTCAGCGCCACTCGATCCTGTCACGATCCCGACACTCGTGGTAAACAAACTGTTACGCGTGTCGATCTCTCCATTTCTTCCATAAACGTTTGTTTGCCGAGTTACGAAAGGCTGGCAAGATGGTAATCGACGACGATTATCTTCGATCGCGTAGGGTCCTGGTAACATTCACGAGTTACGACACTGCGTAGGTCCCGCCTAAGGCCTCCTAGCGCGATTCCCATTTTTCGTGCCCACGTATCGCTAATAGCTCGAGAGGATTACGCGATGGAACCGCGTGAAAGGTGTAACTGTTCGCAGGTATTGCGAAACGACGCTTGTAACCGAGGGAAATCACTTACGACACGTGTCGCTTATACCAGCATCTCGGATTAATACCGCGAATTAATAAGCGACATTCCTCTTGCAATCGCGTAATAACGGAATCCGCCATTTTTCCTCTTTCTCTCGATTAATCTCGCGTCGTCCCACGCTTCGCCGTTTCGCGGGCTGCTCGGCGAGTCGTCGGATCAGCTCGAGGATTCTCGATCTCGTTTTGAAACCGAATACGCCGGTTTAATTAACGCGACTCGCTTTCCAGACGGTTTCGAAAATAAC